TCCCTACTTTAGCATTCCAGTCCCCTAGATTGAGAAGAACATCTTTCTTTGGTGTCAGTTCTAGAAGGTGTAAGTCTTCATAGAATTGGTCAATTCCAGCCTATTCAGCATCAGTGGTTGGTCCATAAACTCGGATTACTGTGATGTTGAAAGGGCTGCCTTGGATTCGTATTGAAATAACTCTATCATTTTGAGATTGTATCCCAGTACAGCTTTTCCCACTCTTTTGTTGACTATGAGGGCTACTCCATTTCTTCTACGAGATTGTTGTCCACTTTAGTAGATATGATAATCGTCTGAATTGAATTCACCCATTCCCGTCCATTTTAGTTCACTGACGCCCAGGATGGCAATGTTTATTCTTGCCATCTCCTGTTTGACCACATCCAGCTTCCGAAGGTTCATAGATCTTACATTCCAGGTTCCTATGCAGTATTTTTCTTTGCAGCATTGGACTTTCCTTTCACTTCCAGGCACGTCCACAGCTCTTTTTAAGTAGAAACACAAGTGGATTAGTATTTTTTTTCTCTCAAAGAAAAAGTGCTATCCCAAATTGTATGCCAGTGTGGACAGGCTCTAAATCAACATATTTCCAAGGGTAATCCTATTATTTCAGCTAGTGAAGCAGGAAAGCCAGCAGGAGTTTCTTTTCCTCCCTGGCAGTAGATTCAATAATAAATTGAATCACCAATAATTCATTGCCTTTTTATTATATCCAAAATCTTCTGCCTCAGGTGGCTGCCTCCCTTTTGCCTAATAACTGGCAAAGGAATTCACAAGCTAAACCCAAGCAGTGGCAGATGCCCATTGCGCTTGATGGAGCAGAAGGCACATTAACCAATGCTGGGCGAAGCTGGGACAAAAGTGGGTGCTCTCATATACACAGGCAGCTGGGCATATTGTTATGAACAGAGAAGCAGGCAGGCATTTGCACAAAATACAGCAGTCTTCTACCTTTTCAGAAGCAGGCACAGTAGAATGGCTGAGAGTAACTTGAGGCTGAGGTGGTTCAATGCTCCACCTGACCTAATGGACAAGCCACAACTAGCTAACCCTGTTGGCCCTTCCACCGCTTGGAAAGGCTATTGCTGCTACAACGATTACTAGAGGAGTTTCCCAGTTAGCATGATGGATAGTCCTGTTTCACACAGAGGAAATCTGTTCATGGTACCTCATATAAGGAAAAACTGGGGCAGAGGTAGCTGACTATAGTAACTGAAAGGAGGGCTTTGCTGATGGGTTTCTGTTTCTGCTTCATCTTCTGAAGCAAGATAAACTTTCACCAACATATTGTACTTTAAAATACATAAATGACATTGATGTACCCCTCCTCCCGCTTAGCTCTTTGCAGGATCTCATTCCTCTACAGCTAATACTATTCTAGAAATAATTTCACAACAAGCATTTCAGAAGTAGTCTCCAGCTGTGACAATTGCTGGGAAAACTTTTCAAACAGGGATGGTTACTATGGAAACGTATAAGCATCACCTTAAAGACATGCGGCTGAAATGGCAAGTTAACTCATCCACACTGCTGGATCGATGTGTGTGCATGGTGGTTAAGGCCAGTAGACAATATGCAGTAGTGGGGAGGGAGGAAAGTGGAATGGGTGCATTTGTTTTTCCCAAAAAAACTAGCACCTCGTGAGCATCCTAGCATTGCTTGAATTGGGTAATATATTTTAAATTGCTGTTCAAGACTAATAAGAAAAGATGCTTAGATACTCCACTTGGTATGATAATGTATTAGGCAGCCAAAAGTATATTGCAATGCCTTCCGGGTGTTTAAATAAAGCACTAGAAAAATCTGGAATTTGTTATTTTAATATTCTCATTGGAGGTTTGAGATATTAGTTTCTTTAATGTGGCAAATTAGCTGAAGTCCATGGATAGAGTGCCTGGGAAAAATACCTAGATATTTGCAATACTAGCAATGTACTGTAGTTATAAATTCAGGGCTTTTCATTTAGAAGTCTCTTGGGCCAGAACAGCTAACCTAAAAATGGTGCCCTCCAGAGATTTTGGACTTCAGTTCCTATCAATCTCAGCTACCCAACTAATGATGAGAATTCCCAGGAATAGGATTCCGAAACACCTGAAAAGTGCCAAGTTTGGGAGTTATGGGCTAGAATCTTTTCACTGCATTGCTTAAGATCATATGTTGATTGGTGTTTTTTTCCTTCAGATCATTCTAATTCTTACTGAATTTCTCTTAAGTTCAATGACAGACACTCTTTGCCTAACAATAAATGTCTTCATTTTCTTTTCTTTTTTTTAATATATCAATACAGGCAGCAGATTTGCAATGACTGTACT